CTAGTTAACTACTGTTGCCTGGCCTGTAAGAAAATTGATGAGACAAGTCTGCTTCCGCTGTGCTGCAGAGTTTTAAGGGCCATAAATAAAAACTCTGTCACCCAACACCTGTCCATACCCAGCCAACAACAGTTGAGGTAATGTAAAGAGAGGAGAGTATACAATATGCCAGATAACAGACAACCTTGCCTAATACTTCTCCAGACAGGGAGATGTAAAGAGAGGAACTAGTTTAGGACACCCAAACCACAAATGTTGCAAGGTCTCCTCAGCTTGAAAAAAATACAAGCTCATAATCTTTGACTATCTGCTCTACCACCTGTGGCTCAGGTGGTAGAGCAGATAGCCAGTCTGCTTGCCAAATATCCTTGGGAAGGTACTAACCCCAAGTTGCTCTCCAATGCAACCATCAGAATATGAATATGTGTGAATGTTAGATAGAAACACTTAGACAGAAAGAGTATTTTAAAAAGTGCCGGTGTGAATGAGTCAAGTTGTGTAAATCACTTTGAGAGCTCAGTTAGCTTAGATATAAGAACCAGTCCATATTTACAGTGACTATGTCCCTTTAAAATCCGAACCATGAAATAACTGCCAGAAATCTTCATTTTTTGATAATGGAGTGTTTGTTGAACCCCAAGACAAAATATATATAAAAAGATATCAAATTTTAATCTGCAGTTTTAATTTGTATCACATTTGCTACATAACCCATATTTTTGCAATTTAGTCATTAAAAATGTGTCATGCAATTTAGATCATTTTTTGAGGGTAAAAAATAGTCATGCTGATGATGTAGAAGTCTCAAAAACTCATAAAAACACATGTATCAGATACGATACACTTGGCTTTAAATAAGCGCCATATGTCTGTTTGTGGTAACTCACCTGTGCGCTATCCTCAACTAGAGATCTAGGGCCCCCTGGATTTTGGGGGAAAATTTTGGGGGGTGGCTAGTGAGTCTCTGCAAAACCCGCACTCGGCACTTGCCAAACTAATCCAGGAAGGGCAGCCACCACTTCCTCCACCAACTTCCGTAGGACAGACAATGACCTAGGAACTGGCAGAACCGGCTAAGATCGAGGGCCCCCTGGATTTTTTTCATAGGGGTGGCCATGGGAGCCACTAAAAATATTGGGGTGGCACACCAAAGCCGAACCGTGCAGGGGCTCCGCGAATGGGAAGAGGCGATGGAAATTGTGAGTAACATACAAAGTGACTCAATACGATTGAGAAAAATTGTATATGCAAGAATAAATAACAAATTATTGTTTCAACTCACTGTAAGATGTCTTCCTCTCTCTCTTGTGCTCACATTTATTAAAAATATTATGAACATAGGACAATCTAGCCAGAGGGCCACTAAGGCGGGAAGAAAATTTTGGGGGGTGGTGGCTAGTGAGTCTCTGCAAAACCCACACTCGGCACTTGCCAAACGAATCCAGGAAGGGCAGCCACCACTTCCTCCACCAACTTCCGTAAGACAGACAATGACCTAGGAACTGGCAGAACTGGCTGAAGACAGCAGCAGTTTTCCACTGCTCTCCTGATCTCAACACTGCCAGTTTTGTCAGGCCAGATGTTGCTAGGACTCTTTGCATGGTAACAAATGCTATAATTATTGATGCTAATAGAACCAAGCAAGCTAGACTGAATAAGAGGGTTGAAGAACAGGGGGTCTTCAATCATGCTGACATAAAACTCAGAGCAGACTCTTTTAACACGTAAAACTTTTGTCCATGCCTTCAGAACAGAGTGGTAGAAGGATGAAATCCCTGAGATGTCCGTACCAGTCATCATTTTGATCCACATTTGTGGTTTGTGGTATAAGAAATGCTGAGCAGTCTAAAGACAAAAAGACCTAATGCAATTTTTTATGTCAATCAGTTGCTGTCCACCTTCTGACAGAGGTAAGAAAAGTGCTGGAGATTTAACAACCCCCCCAAAAAAGGCAACCAGTCACTTCTCTATTTCCTGCACCAGTGTATGTGGAGGCTCAAAAACCATTTGATTCAGAGCTCTGAAGCAGCCAGATTATTTATAACCACTGATCTCCCCAAACAGGACATCTGTGACTGGATAAATGTCCATCCACACAGTTGGGCACTAATTTTCTCCACTATACTCTCCCAGTTTTTGGAAATCGTCACTGTCAAGAAAAGCTCCAAGGCATTTCACCACTCTCTCTGCTCCATTGCAGCACAGCTGGAAATAATGGCTCCCACTTGCTTTTCCACTCTCCTAAAAGTAACCCTTCACTCTTTTGCCAGTTAACACTTGCAGAGGATGCATTCTCATACAGTGATAGCTTTTCTGTAATATGTGCAGTGTTGGGGAGTAACGGAATACATGTATCGCCGTTACGTATTTAAAA